AGTATGAATGCACCTGTGGGACACTTCCCTGGACACAAACCATTCCCAGGTAGTTACTTATTCTCAAATGTCAAAAGCTAGGGCTTCCTGCATTCATGCATTCATCCCTGCCCCCTGCAGATGTTTAAATCACAGGGTCCAGGTACTGCACTACGTTTAGCATAACAAAAGGCCAATAGAAAACCAAGCTCTGGCTTCCTATGCCTCCACCTTGGGCAAGTCACCTGGGCTTTACTTTCTTCCTTCTACAATCAGAAGATACAGTGGAAGAATAGTAATCACTCTGGGAGCCAAACCATGATTTTTGTGATCATAGTGCTCTTCTCTTCATAGGCTCTGTTATCCCTACAGCAATTGTTTGATATTATACTTGGACAGTTATATTGGTGTAAAAGGAATACAACTTAGACTAGAATATGTTTCTATTTTTTTCTCCCTGACTTTGAAGGAAATTAAAGCATTGCATTGGTTCCTAAAGCTACTGCGGTCTCTATGCTCTGACAGTGTTGCGATTGGTGGCTAAGTCAGCTGTGGTCATTTCTCAAGGATAGAGTAAGAGGACATAAGTATAAGGATCCTCAGTTTAATTACTCATCACCACTACCTGAGCAGCTCCTGTGTCCACTTTCTGCTGCTCTGCTGAGCACTGAGAGCTGTAGAAGTGAAGATGTTCACCAAGAGGCCTCCGTTCCTTTTCCTGATGCACAGTATCAGATACATAATTGGGATTCGACTCGATTAATACAACATCCACTAAAAAATGTATAAACACTTCAGGAAAAGAAAAACAGTGTGATATCCCTGCACCCTATATGGCCCTTCTTCTTCTGGGCACTGGGACAACTCAACTTACTTCAGTGACAAGGGAAGGGCAGTCCCCCTGAACTGGGGAGATGGGGCTCTCTGTACATTACATCTTTGGATCCCTGGTCTTCAACCCTAAGGACTGATCAGACACAGTGGTTAAACTATGCATCAACATGGGCAGAAAAGCCATGGTATCCAGCTGTTAGGTCAAATGTTTCTGTAAAAGTATGTTTTAGAAAAGATTAATGTTGACATCATGAGACTTAGAAGAAAGCAGATGAGCCTCCGTAGTGTGTGCGGGCCTCATCCAATTAGATGAAGGCCTTAGTAGAGAGGACAGATTTCCCCTAAAGAAGAAACTCTGCCAGCAGACTAGCTTTGGATGTGAATGCAAGTGTTCCTTGAGTCTCCAGCCTGCCAGCTCACCCTAAAGATTTTGGACTTTCCACTGTCTACAACTGCATGAGCCAAATTGTTAAAATAATTCTCTTTTGCTCTCTTCCTCCTACCCTCAAGGAAGTAGAGACACATGACATCACATTCCCTGAGTTAAAACTCTACCTGTTAGTGAAGATTTTACACACACACACACACACACACACACACACACACACACTTCTTATATTCTTATCAGGGGGTACGATACATCCTATGGCTTCTCTTTCACTGGGACACTGGACCCATGTACTATGGATGTGCTACATTCCCCAGAGGTACCTGGCAAATGAAGAGTTATTGCAATAAAAGCAGGAGAGGAAAAGTGGAAGGAAACCTCCTGGAAGATTTCATCTAGTTAGCTTCCTACATCTTAGAACACAGAACCAGCTAGAGTGAGTGACTGGCTCAAGACCACACAGCATATCAGTGCCAGTACCACCTTCAAGACTCTTCTTTCCGTGATACCCTCGTCACAAGACCACTCTGGAGGTGTTGGAGTTATAGTCTGATTATTTAGATGAATGAAAAGAAAAATAATACCAGTGGAGGGTTTTCTTGGACAATTCTGTGCCAGACTCTACATTCAGGCCCCTACGTAGTCATTTTATTTGATCAGCTGTCTCACGAGGCAGGCATTGGTCCCCTCTGACAGATAAGCCATAGGTTAGAGCATGCAGAAGTCCTCTTGTGCAAAGCTGCTGGTTGGAGACTGGAAAGGAGCACAAGCACTCACTCTACCCACTCAGACTGTAACAGCCCAAGGTGCAGTTGGAAAAGGGGACTTCAGGGCACAGGACACAGGGCCTGGGCTGAAGTGGAAGGGCACAGGACATTGTGTCATGCTCACCGATGTTTTGTGCCACTTGGCTCATTTTACTGCGAAGCTCTCGCCCTGCAAATGCCTTTGCCAGCAAATGCTTATTCAGGAGAGACACCTGTTCCCTAATCTTCTGGCAAGGCTGTCTGTGGATTCCAGTGCTGTTTGTTAATGCTCTGGGCTTCTCAGGGATTTGCAAGCATAGCTCCCAGGAGAGAATAGGAGTGGATTTTATTCATCGCTTGGCAGCCTTGCCTGGTGGGAAGGCACCGGTTGAGTGCACAGCACTGAATCCACATAATTGGATGGGACCCAAACAGAAAAAGCACAGGAAAAGAATCAAGTCCTGAAAATAGTCCACTGAGCTAAGTACCACAAGCAAGTTCAATGCTAGCACCCACAAACAAGCCACTCTATACGACTCTTCTAAGAGACAGAGATGTCTACTTTGCCACACACCCCCAGAAATAGCTAGGAAAAGAAATGGAAAAACAAAGTAAAACAAAACACTAGATTTTATCATGTGCCTGCTAAGTCTGCTTGTGTAGTTTTGGCACATATTAACTCCTGAAATCCTCTAATTAAAAAAGATATGATCCCATGTCCCCATTCACCTAAGCCACAAAGCATGGACCACAGCAGGGAAGTGAATGCAGAATCTTATCTGAGCCACACTGCAACAGCCTCAGAGGTAGCAGCTGTGCTGGGTCACACACAACTGTGACACCTGAGACAGATGCACTGGGCTGAAGTGATCTGGAATGTGACCTGTCCCATCCTACCCCTTGCCAGCCCCCAGGGAAACCCCAAGAGGCTGCCACCTGCCAATGGAGACATCCACCCCTCCTCAGCCCCCCCCACTAGGTCTCTCTAATGCCACAAAAAGCAAGACAGTCTGTGGCTCAGTCTGTGGCTGACCAATTCTTCACATTACCATGCATTGCTCCTGGTGTTAGTTACTCACCCCACAAACATATCTTGAGCATGGCTTTAGGACCTGAGGATGTGGAAATAAATGAGCCGGCTTCTACTCCCAGGCTCTCAGAGTGGGAGAGAGAGATGCCTAGAGCATTGGGAGCTGACCAGGTTCAATACAAAGGCTTCAGCTACTGCCTGGAGAGATTTGCCGAGTGATTTGTCCTGTAGAGTCAGCTAGCAGTGCCTCTGACAGTGGGGAACTTGGAGATAACCTGGGGTGCAACAGAGCACCTACCACGAGGTAAAGGGTCAACTGTGGTCTTTCTGGATTGAGGTATCTTCAAGAGGAGGCCCTGCCTTCGCACCTTGCCCCAGCCTCCATGGGAATACTGAGCTATCAATGCCCATGAGAAGCTCATCCCATGATGACAGATTCATTGGTCTCCACTCCCTTCCTCACTCATTCACAGATCCTCTGTTGGGGCTAAGGCCTCAGGATTCTGAGAAGCACAGTGGTTCAGCCCTTGGTCCTGCATCTATAGGTCACTGTGACCCATCCTTAACATGTTTCTATCTGGCTCTGGCATCTGCTCTTTGCATGGCACCAGGCCCTATGGGCTTCAGGACCTCATCCCTCAGGAGGATTCTGGCAGCCCTTTCCTTTGCTCCTCAGGACTATGAGGGTGCGTGGTACAGCGGCGTGACCCATAAGGAGATGTAACCCAGGCGGTTCTCAGAGCTGGGCAAGGTAATGACACAGGAGCGTGTCAAGGGTACCTCTGAACTGTGTGAGCACAGAGCACAGGGGTCCACAAAGGTGGTGCAGCTCTTGTGGGTGCTGGCTGGGCACAGGCAGCCTTTCACACTCTTGCCTTGGGCTGAGTGATGACTAATGTTCAACATCAGCTTGTCTAGGCTATGTGGTGCTCAGATGTTTGGCTGGACATTATTTGGGCTGCCTGTAAGGTAGTTTCTGAATGAAACTGATGTTAGAAGCAGCATGCTGAGTAAATGAGATGGAACTAGGCAACCCACTCAGGGTCTCAATAAAACTAGCAAAAGTGAGTCACAGAGAGAATTTCCTGTCTCTTACTGTCTGATTTGTGATGTCAGTTTTCTCCTGTCTTTGGGCTCAAGCTTGGACTGAAACTCTACCATCAGGTCTCCCGGGTCTACAGCTTGCTGAATTCAGATTTGGGGGCTTCTCAGCCTCCGTAATTGCATGAAGCAATTCTTTATGACAATGGAGGGCCCAACACTGTTGATATTTTCTCTCTGGACAGTACTGAAAAAAACAGGCTGGTTATTTCTGAGCAATTTACTGATAAGAACATGTCACGAGCTGGTTGTGGTGCTGTAGGCCTAGAGGCTGAGGCAGGAGGATCACACGTTTTAGCTCAGTCTGGGGAATTTAGCAAGACTCTCAAAAGAAAGTGGGATTGGAGATGTAGTTCAGTGTGAAGACCCAGAAAAAAGAAAAGAACACATCACATGCTGGCTAAAGAGAAATAAGGACAGTCATACTGTGTGGGCCAGAAGCCTCCACATCTCTCTCGAATAACAATGGGTGTCTCTTGGGAAGCAGAAACAAAGGGGAGGACAGACGATACACATTTACCAAACAACCACTGAGCACCAGTTACTGGGATAAAATCTTTACACTCATTCTGCACTGAATGTACACAACTCTGCATAAGATTATTAACTGATAGTGATTCTACTCTACAGGTGGGAAAACTGATGTCCAAAGAATGAGCAAATGAAGTTTCAATACCAGGCAGGCCTAGTGCCAGCAAATCAGTGCTACTACATAGTCAGAGAGAACCCCATCAGGACACACATTCCCTCGCTCCAAAGTGGACCGCATAGAGAAGGCACTGGACGAGGAGGACCATACTCCTTGAGTCCATGCCACTTGGTAAGAGGAAGATGTATGGTAAATGTTCTCCGATATAAAGAATGTGGGATGGCTAGTGGGGGGAAGTGAAAAGGAATGCCTAAGTGGCATTGGCAGCGTTACCTCTGAGGAAGTGGGCTTGCAGTATCCAGCTCCAAAGACCAAGTTTTCCAGGGAGATAATGGACTGTTCTTGTCCCGCCTCTGGGCCTCCTTTACCAAGCCACGATCCTCTTCCTGGGCGAGTAAAACTAGAAAAGAGAGAAAAGAAGGAGAAATGGGTTGTAACAAAAGCAATGGTGCCATTAGCTTAGCCCCTGTGAAGGGTGGTGCTGGGAAGTGCACGCGGTGAGTTATTTAGAAGGAGGAGCTTGCCCTGTAGAGCAGGGGTGGCGAAACTATGGCACACATGCCACAGCTGGCACTCAGAGCTGTCACCGTTGGCACATAAGCCAAGTCACCCCTGTCAGCTGAGCATCAAATAACCGTTGTGTTTTTGTTTTCTAAACTGAAACCTCAGTATTCAGGTTTAATTGCATGGCTGGTACTTTGTGATAAATAAGTGGGTTTGGGGTTGGAGTTTGGGCACTCAGTCTATAAAAGGTCTGCCATCACTGCCCTCACTCGTGTTTGAACAGGATATTTCTGTATTTTCATGACCAAGGGGTCCAAAGGACGCTTGTGATTTGAGGCCAACAATGACACGCATTCCGCAATTCTGCACAAAAATGTCCACCCCGAATGTTACCGGACAGCTGATTGAGAGGCAGAGGCAGAGCTGTAGGGCTACATCTTCCAGAGAGGCAGGTGGGGTGGGTCAGCAACAGAGGTGCAGCTTGATCAAAGCAATGCCAGCCCTGCCTCTGCACCTCTGTGGTGCATCCTCTGGATGGAGCTCCTCCCACTTAGCCCCACCCTGACTCACTGCTGGGTCTTTCTATATAAGAACACAAAACAATGTCCACTCTGCAATCCATGCATCTGCCTAGGAGAGTGTTTGAAACTTCTGTAGTAATAAAGCGTTCATGATATCCATGAATACTCTGGAATATTGTCACCTGTTTCACAGACAGACAGATCCCATCCTGCTCTGTAATTCACTGGAAAGATCAGCAGACACACTGCAATGGCAACCACTGATTTCAGAATGAAAGAAGACTAGGAAAGGTGATGCGGTTATTTGATTCCATCTTATGTGGGATTATAGCCACCTCCACTACCTTAATCTTTTTTTATTGTCTTTAATAATTTAAGAGGAATTGCTTACACTCATTTTTCCTTTCAGATCTCATGTACTGATTATCTTATGGTTCACTGTTTCATGTTGATCTTCATATGATGAATACTATTTTATAGGTATGCTATAGTCCCCGGTGAGGTTTAAATCTCTGCTGGCACAGTACATCTGGATTATCAATAGCCTCCAGTGACATCAGCTTTACCACAGCTGCTCAAAAAAAAAAAAAAATAGAGAGAGAGATTTCATCCCAGAGACTCACGCTCTTGCTTAAAATATTGACAAGACAGGGCCAGGGATTTAGCTCAGCGGTTCAGTAGCCTGCCTTGCAAGTGCAAGGACCCGAGTTCAATCGCCGGTACCAAAAAAATAAAATAAAATATTGACAAGGCAATAGTTAGGAATCCACTTCTGTTCAGTTTATTTACTCAAATATTAGGCTCATACCACAAGCCAGGCAGCATGTTAGGTTTTAGGTGGATGGAGGTGTATCTTCTACTTTAAAGACCCCTTGATGTAGAGAGGGAGGAAGTGAACCATTAGGCAACGGAGGTAAACTGAGGCTGGGAGCAGAGTAGAGCAGTGTGTGAAATGAGCTTTGTGTAAAGGATACAGAGCCAGGTGGTGTCAAATAAGGAACAATGAGTAGTGAGTGACCAGCCCGTGAAGTCAGTCTGCCAGGAGTCACAGCCCAGCACGGCCTGTCTGCTGTGAGACAAGGCAGTGTTTAGGACCTCCGGCTGCTTCTGTCTCCCCAGGTGGCAGAGGGCTGATGAGGGACTGCAGCCATGGAGTCACTATGAGGACTCAAATTAGCCAAAGGGCAGTTTTCCATGTCTGGAAATAGCAAGGGCTCAGTAAATGCTAGTAAAGATTGTTGGCAATAAAACAAATATAAAAAGTCATGATTACATATATACAGCTCACGTTGACAAAACCACAGTTATAGTTGGTCCTTCATCATCTTGGGTTCCACATGTTTAACCAAGCATGGCTTGAAAATATCAGGAATAAAAGGCATTTATACCGAAGTATAGCAGCTATTTCCATGGCATTTACATTGTGTTGGCTGTGATAAGTGACACGGAGATAATTTAAAGCGTACAGGAGGATATGCACTGATTATAGCAAATCTGTACCACTTACATAAGGGCCTTGAGCATTGGTGGATTTTGGTATCTATGGGGGTCCTCAAACCAAGTCTTTGCCCTATTTTGAGGAATGACTGTATGAGACCATTTCATCATTATTCTGATTTTTTTAAAACTGAGAGCTAAGTTTACTATTCAGCCGGATGAGTAGAAGGAACATTCAAGAAAAAAAGTAAAACAGGCACGTGCACACAGATGACCACACCAGATTCAGAGGACAGATTGCAAATCAATAACCAAAAGAACCTGTTATTTCCATAAGTGAGAACCCTGATTAGCTTTTCCATTGCATGGGAATCCTTCAGGAGAAATCGAGCTTGAGGGAAAAACCTGTATTCTCTGCTTTGCTGTGCTTCTGGGGAAGCTAAGGGTCTTTTGAGGTTAACTTTTAATTTCACACCTGCTTCATACTTATTGTCTAATGCTATGAAAAACTGGCTCTTCTGGCAAATCCAGTGCTTGCCCTATTTGACAGGTATTTCCCACAACCTTAAGGGTTCCCTTTGTTCTTAGCTGCTGCGAGCCAACATAAAAATTCTACCAGCAAATCCAGAGTGTTCTAATTTTACCTGCATCCCCAGAGAAGTTGAAGTCCTTACTGACTCTCGCTGCGCTCCTTGCCTGCAAGTGGGCTGCAGATTTGCAAAGCACTGCTCCTAACACAGGTTCCTTTTTCTCCTAAGATTTCCCACAACCCCACATCTTCACTAATACTACAGCAGGAAGAGAGAGACCCACTCACCCCTACGGCTCCGCTCCAGGGGTTGGGAAAGCTTCTGCCTCCTCCCTCATCCTCCCCTCTGCCCTCCTGCCTCCATGGCTGACATCACTGCCAGCCCAACCCACTCACTGCTGCGGTATCTTCAGAGCACAGAGGTCTCATCAGGTCATTCTCCTGCTCCAACCTTCAATGCCTCCTTCTTACGTAATAAATGGGTTTGCCATTCCTTAATGTGCTGTTAATCACACTGTTGAAATCTAGCTGCAATTTACTGTCCCAAATTCATTTTCCGCTGTCACAGGCTCATGGCCTGGGTAGAGAGCATGAGAACGCTTTTTTTTTTCCTTCAAGCATTCCTTTCAGGCCCCAAGTTGAACTGCTTTTCATGTGCTAAAAATTACTTGCCATTTATTAAATCTTATTAGTGCCAGCCATGTGGCCAAGATCAGGGGCTTGGAATATGGTAGATGCTAAATAAAAACTAAACTGTTGAATGCATGGCCAAGGGTTTTATATGGACTACTTTATTAAACCCTCCTAGTACATCTTTTGGTGTCTTCTGTGAAACTGAAGCCCAAATGCTCAAGAGAACTTGAGTTAACAGCCAGGGTGCAGAACTGCCACAAGGGTCCATCTGATCTTAAGGACCAGGCCTTTAACCTCTACCTTGCACTGGGCTCCCTAGATATTTTCAAAATCCCTCTGAGTAGCAGGCATTTCTCTGAATCAGAGATCAGAATCTACAGGTATTTTGTTGAGGCTGCAAGCCTTTCACCATCAGGGCTTGATCTATTCATCCCAGAGGTTTTAGGTTTGACTTTTGTGAGACACAATTCACCTAAGTTCAGAGAAGCCACTTGTGAGTTTCACTTTGGATTTTGAAAAAAAAAAATGTCTTCTTATTTGTTTGTATGTTGAAACAGATGTTTAGATCTCCCAGACATAAGTCCCAGGGCTAGACAAAATGATGGTCATGACTCCAGCTGAAAATAAATAACGCATTCCTACCACAGGCTCCCCCTCACCTCAGCAGAACAACCTGCTGGTTCCAGGACACCTCCTCCGTGCTGGCCTTGCCTCCTTAGTTATCCTTTGGTGACTCTGACAGATTGTACACTGCACTCTGCACTGAAGCTCTATTTCCCAAGCCTAAGCGTGAGAAAGTGCCTAGAGATTATGCTTTCCTGAAGAATGATATTCTGCTGCTTTCTGGACTCTTATCTCTCCTGCTACTTCCTCAACTCAAATATGCCTTCTTGTGTCCCTACAGTGATGAGTATTGCAATGACTTCTGTCAACAACTACACCTGTCACGCCCTAATTACACACAATCAGATGGGCCCCTGCACTTAAAGGACAATGTATTCCAGTGTCTCACGACAGGATGTGCTGCAAAAACCTGGCACTTCCACAGAGTTCAGCAGGCCCTCAGCAAATATCCACCCAATGGAAGAAAAATTCTAAAGGGCCCCTGTGGACTCCCTCATCCAATCCTCTCCTTTCTTCAGAGCTCAGTTTCCATAAGGTTTTTGGCAGAGAAATGTCCAAACTTCTCAACAGAGCACTGAGGGCCGTGGACTTTTCCACTTGGCCCATGGTTCCAGGATCTCCCAGACAAGTCAGTCCACTCTGCTTTCAGCTCCTGCCATGTGCATCCATCTTTCCTCTCATGCATGATTTCCTCTGCCAAAAGCCAATATGACTACAAACTTTCTCCTGTGTTGTTCACTATTTCCCTCTCAGAATTCATCTCACCTGTCCTTTAGCCCAATCTATTTTTCCTCCCTGGGGCAATATGTCTTGCTGTCCGCACTCTGATTATTTGATATACATGTGCTCTCTCTACTGGTCTTGGTCTATCCATGTTGGAAATGGCCTATTAGCCAGAAGCACTCACAGTGGAATGGAGCAGGTGGACAGAACCACTGGTTTATAGCCTCCAGGAATATTAACTCACTGTCACTTCTCATGGCTGCAGGCTGCTATCTCATTTCCTACTCATGGAGTTCAACAAAGAACAGGGTCTTCAAGCATACACAGCCAAGATGCTGTTTTCCATTTAAACTCTCAGGGTAGAGAAAGCTATCTAGAAAAGGAAAATTGAAATTTTTTCCTTTCCAACACTCCAGATTCCACCCCTAAATATTCCTTTGCACACATTTGTGCAAATTGCACCCATGCATGTGTGATGATTTGAAATGTCCTAAGTCTCCTGATTTGGTGATCTTGGGAGCATTATGAATGGCAGAGCAGAACACCCTGTGCTCGTGATTGTCAGCGCTCTCTGTCCCCTTACAGAATTCACAGGGTGTCAGAGTCCCATGTGACCTCAGAGATGCTGCAGGGCAAGTCAGTCAAGGGGAAAGCAAAAAACCCTTACAGATGGGCCTTCTGAATAAGTTAAACCATTTATGGAACCAGAGACAAAACGAAACCCTTGCCATGCACCTGGCCCTGTCCTCATCCGGGATCCATTCAAATTTCATGCAGATGGGACATGTCAGTGCCCCTATTTAGAGATGGATATTATGTAATTCTGGAACATTAGATGACTTCTCAACTGAGGTACAGCTGGAAAAATACTGAAGCCTATGGAAGAATCAAAGTCCTCCTAGTATGAGACACAGTATACAAGATTTTAGTCCCTGGGCTCCAGGCCAGTATCCCCTGGATCCCTGATGCTCTCGTCACACCTCTCCACAACTCTTTGTTTCTCTCAGTAAAGTCCACGCTTATCCCTGCAGCTGAGGAGAAGCTTCTCTGGTCTGCATTAACTGTGGTCCTCTCGGCCACCCCACATACAAGGGCTGCACTTAACTTCATACCTGATCAGGGGTTGCTGCAGAGCCACCAGGGCAGCGTGGATGGTCACCGAGATCACTGACAGATGGAAGTAGTCGAACATGACAGGGACCTGGTGGTGTAGACCCCTCCGGGGGTGGAAGTGGAGGCCCAATGTGCGGCTGCTGATCATTGGCGCCCCGGCCACATCCCTCAGCCTGAAAGGCGAGACAGTGAGCTCATGTGAGTGATAGTGCCTTGTCCTGGCTGTCACTCAAACAGATACCCATTGCAGCCTTTCCACAGGCCAGGGACTACTCATACATCGCCAATACCTGCTAAAACCCTGCCTGGTTAGCAATCATTTTTCCAATGACTGGCAAATGAAGATCCCCCAAGGCTGCCCAGCAGACCCAGGCTATGAAACCAAGCCCACGCACCAGTGAGGATTAAGGTGATCAGTTTTCTTTCCAAGGCTACTTCCAGTGCTATAGCCCTCCTGGCTTCTACCCTTGTTTTTTCTTCTTGCCCCAAGGCTCTAGTCAATTTTGCAAGCCTGTGCTCTCTATTTGATTTCTGCCATCTTAAGGACAGGAGCTGGGACTAATACATCTCAGTATCTCCAGCAGCAACCCAGTATTTGACATCCTGAGGAAACTGGTCCAATATGTGCTCATTAAAATGTATGCCTGATTGAGTGAGTGAATAGTAGCATGGGTGGCTCCCACAGCACAGTGACAGGTTTGGTGAAGGACCCCCACCTCTGCTCCTGCATTTGGCAAAGGGTGTGTGTTTGATCTGGGGAGAAAACCAACTAGCAGGAAGGGCTTGCCAGCATCCTTGATGATAAAGGGGAATTGATTTCCATCAAAATCAAAGTTGGTGTGTTGGCCCTCAAGAGAATCAGCACCGCTCTCCAGCTGGAAAAATGAACCGCACGCTCTGCAAATTGTGCTGAGCAAAAGTGTGTGGGAAACCAGGATGAGCATCTTCCGGGAGTATGGTGAAGAGAGAAGTTTCTCCTCCTCCATGGACAGGAGCCTGGACACAGGGCTGGTGGGTGAAAGGAGCGACCACCACCAACAGATCCAGAGGTTGTGCATCCCCAGGGCCTCGGCTGCTTGTGCACAAACAGAAGCCGGGTGAGAGCCAACCGAGCCACAGGGCCGGCATGACTATAAATACACCGTGCCTAAGGCCTCCTTTTCCATCAGCAAGAACCTGAAGATGAGAGGATGAAGAACCTCGGCATGTGTCTCAGAAAGCAACTACCACTGACACTCACTTTGATTCTGAGGACAACTCCTTAAGGTTTTACTATGAACTTTGCACACTCCTTTCCCCTGTAATTCTGCTAGACACCTTGTGAGGTGTTTACCAACATCGTTTTCTTTATAGAAAAGGAGGTAAAGCCAGCATGACTTCATTAACTTGTTCCAAGGCGCAAGGCCAAAGTGAAATGCTAGATGGGGTCTTTCTGACTCCGTGATCTGTTCTGATCACTGCTTAGTATTGCTGAGTCCCTTCAGACACAGGCTCCATGAACCACAGAAATACCCTTTGGGCAACCGGCAGCTACACATAGCTCAGGGTAGCAAAGATGGAAAAAAAAAAAAGGTTAACAGTAATTTAAAGCACATTAACAGAAGTGAAGAATTTAGAGGGAGGGAGGTGATTGGCCTCCTGTGCTCCGAAATGGATGTAGTCTATTCCTAGATGCCAGGCTGTATTCCCGGGAGTGTGCGTCCAGGCGGTTGTCTCAGTTTAGAAGAGATGGAGACAAACTTGATAGCACTGAGAAGAGAAGGTCTGCTTTATCATAACAGGACTACAGTAATAAAAAATAAACAACAACAAAACAGTTCGCTCATAAGCAGTGAGCCCCGTATTTAACCTAGAGATGAAGAGCTTTCCTCGTCTGAACAGCTGTCCAGACTGAGCTTGCTGCATTATCAAGGAAAACAACGGAAGTCAATTAAGGGAAGGCACACAAGGATGAACTGCCCCTGGGAGCTGAGCTGTCCTGGACAGAAAGGGATGTGGTGGGAAGGAAGCAGCTCCCTGACCCTGTGCAAGCAAGTGCCAAGGACACCCTGCAGGGTCACAAGTGTAAATGTGAGGCAGCTAGAGCAGGGCTGCTGGAACTCAGCAATACCGGTTTTAGAGACTGAATACTGCTTCCTGGGAACCCAAGTATCCTGTACATCTTAAACTGTTCAGCAACATCTCTGGCCTCCACTCACAAAATGACAATAATATTCTACATCCAGATATCACTGTCTACGGATACGGTCCAGTGTCCCCAGAGAGTGGCATCTTCCTGCCCGACTTGAGAGCCACGGATGAGATGGTTGTCAAGAGCCCTGCCAAGCCTGGCATTAGAGCCCACACTTCTGTTCCTTTTCATTTTCTTTCTAGATGCTGCTGACCAACTGATATTTCAGAGCCAAATGTCTACCCCCAGGACATGCCACAGATGCCTTATCATCCTTAAACTCAATTTATGAAAATGAAAAACGACAACATTTCCAATCTTCCCAGCCGCTGGCTTCCTGTCCCTCTTAGCTAATCCTGCGTTTCATGAGAGTCCCCTACTCTGATTGTTATTAAGTGCTTTGTATTAAAAGAGAGGAAGCAACACATTCAAGCTCGGTCCCACTTGCGTCTAGGAAGTCATAAAAAGGAAGAAGACATTTATCCCACAGGCCATGCTCTTGGCCTGGTTACATATATTGTCTCTGTTAATCTTCATAGCAGACCTAATAATGATGACAATTTTATAAACGAGGCTACCGAGACTTGGAAAAATACAGAAATTCAGCCTGTATTTCAGGGTGTAGTTGCTGCATTTTTTATAATTTGGGCCAATTTCCTGCACCCATACTCACCATTCATTGCTCTTTTGATGGCAAGAATGACTCCTTTGCTGTGTCCACTATGACTTATCCTTGAAGTTTCTTAAAGAGTTGATAAAGAATAATTTCTAGGCTAAATTTGAAATCCGTAGGAGGATTCTGTGGCTAACTGCAAAGGTCCACCATGGAGCTATGGAGCTAAGGACGTAGGACGCGAGGGGATTACTAGAAGAGTTTGTGACAGCAACCACAGATGGTGGAGAGAAACACAAGAACAATGAAATCAGGTGTTTTGAGGGCCAGGGATTTAGCTCAGGAGTTCCGCCGCCTACCTTGCAAGCACAAAGACCCAAGTTCGATCCCTGGTACCAAAAAAAAGAAGAAAAAAAAAAAGAAGTCAGGGGTTTTTATTCTAATATTGTAGGTAAGATTTCTTTTTTTTTTTTCAGTGCTGGGAATTGAACCCAGGTCCTTGGTACTGACATTTATCCCTAACCCATTAAAAAAATTTTTTTTCAGACTAGCTCAAACTTGTGATCCTTCATTTTCGGTCTCACAAAGTACTGAAATTACAGGCCTATGCCTCCAGGCCTGGCTTACAGATAAGGTTTCTTCCATATCCCCACCCATCCAGGGGGGAAGTGTGTGATGAGAGTATCAGGGGCCAGGAAAGGCCATTGAGCACAGACACTGTGTCAGGGCTAAGGACAGACACTCTGAGCAGCCCAGAGTCCCAGCTCTCCCAGCCACACTACCATACACATCCATTCTCCATGCTCAACACCATGAAGTCTCTGACACGCCCACAGAAGTCCTGTTTGGATTCAGACCCAGCGACTCCCTGTGTTGTACAAATACCCACCACAATAGACAGGGAACAGTCTTTGGGAAGGGGAGAACTGCATAAGATTAGCTAAGAGAAACAGGAAGCCAGAGGCTGGGAAGATTGGAAATGCCATCCTTTTTCATATTCATAATCAGACAAAGGATGATAGGCATCTGTGGCACATCAGGGTGGTGGCAGGGACAGGGTCTGAAGCAAAGCTCTTCTGACTTTGAAGAGGAGGGGTTGGTTCTACCAGCATCAGCCCACTAGCACCCTAATTCCCTAAACAACTGATGAAGTTGGACAGACCAGACACATGGATAGAAAGGTCAGGATGTGCTGAGATGTCACTAGTAGAATACAGGCAGAAGAAAGTATACCCCTTTTTACAACAGAGGAGAGCCCCTCTGGGGAGCTTGTGCTGTGTGCCTAGGGCAGTGAGAACACAGGTCCTGGTCCCCAACTCATAATGCAAAGACTTTCAGGAGAGAAATTTGGGGAAGCTGGGGTAGGTTCTCAACAATGTGGGAAGGGGCTTACAGTGTCTTGTACACATCCTACTGGCAGATGAAGTTTCTTTGGAGGAGTGTCTGCCTGGAATGGTTTCCTCCAAGACAGAGGTTTCCTGGCCATAAGAAGCTTTAGTATTTCAGAGAACTGTAAGGGCGAGGCTAGGTTTGAAGTGAAGGGTTGTTCAATGAGGATATCTCCAAGGAATTCACAAAGATACTCTAAGGGTGACTCAGTCTCTGCCATAGGATGGGCCCCACTTACAATCCAACACGATCCCCTGCCCCTTCCCCCACCTTCATCCTCTTCTGACCCCCTCAGTCCTCCAGACACAAGAATGACAGTGGAGAAGAAAGTTGGAGAAGTACAAAATCTCCCTCTACCCGCTGTGCGCTTTCCTGCTCTGGGAATTTCCCATTCTAAGTCTGGAGGTGCAGCACAGAAAGAAGAGAATAAAAAAAAGGTATAAACTGGATGAGAATTTAGACCTTCGATAACACTTCACTGAGCTTTTTAATAAGTACGAAAGAATAATTCATTACGGGAAAGAATTCAGAGAGTCTAATGTCAAAAATGATCACCGTGGGGTTGGAGGCCGAGGCCACAAACGACTCAGAGGAAGCAGTTATGAGAAGGAGGATAGTTGCCTCCCACTTACATAATCGGCAGGTTATCCATAAATGGATTGTAAATGTTCAGAGTTGAAACACAGTAGCAGACATTCAGCACAAAGATGTAGCACCACAGCAGAACTTCCTCTGATTCAGAAGGGGCTTTGAATTTTGTGGCCTCATGGGGTCATTATTCTAAAATCCCCAATTATGACTGCATTACAAATGTATAAAGTGTAGAAGGTATGAGTTCTGAAAGCCCAGAACGTGGGAGTTTTCTGTGTATGTCTCTGGGAGCCAAGATGCCTGCCAAAGGTGCATGAAGTCTGAAAAGTCACTCAACATTCTCAGTCCATGTTCCATGTATGGTGTTTGGTTGTGAGCCTGTCCAGAAAGCACGCCCCTGGGACACGCTCGCGATCACTGCTACCCCGATTTAACCTGGGGCAGCACATGGCAGCTGGCGAGGAACCAGATATCTGAAAGATGTTCCCAGGACTGTGCCACGCAGCACCCCGGAAGTGAGTGAGGAGGGGTGCAAGCCACATCCTGCCACCAAAGTCCGAGGGGCCCTGCGACACTCACTGCTGCTCGCTGTCTGTACTGTGCAGGTCCACCTTGAGTTGGAAATCGACTTCGCTCAGGGCGTCTTCCACCTGCAAGAGAAACCCAATCCAAGAGATTTTAGGAGTCAGCTCTTGTCCAAATGAAAGAACTGTTCTATGTCCCAAAGGGGAATCAATCTCGCCACCATAGCATTCTCGTTTATGCCTAACACGGACTCTCACACACGTTCTATGGAGTTCGGGATGACCAGGTGATCCGGGGGTGTTGTGCAGAAAATGAAGGCAAGCATTTAGGTAGCAATTTAGGCAGATCTTATTTTCCTTCAAAAAAGTTTTATTAGTATATTTTGTAATACATAATAATGGCATTTGTTTTAGGGAACTGGCACACCACCTACCACATCTCGATCACTTTTATATTCCTTCCTCCTCACCTTTCCCTCTTCCTCCTTCCCCAGATTCCTTTCCTATCTCAAAAGAAGAACACCTCGTTTCCTACAAACTCACCTTTATTTTGCTCTTTATTTGCTTTGTTGGACTTCTCATGCAAAGGGAAACCATATAATATTTAATCTTCCATTATGGTCTCAAGAGCCTTCAAACACTGTTACGTTTTTCTCCTGTTTGTCTTGCCTGTTTCCCCCTACCATCACTGCAGTTACAGTCTGTAGAATGTGTGACAGTGGTTTTGACTAGAATTATTGTAGAAAGGAGGACGGTACCCCAGAGTGCCAGCTTTGGAAAGGATGGACTGAAATCTCCCTGGGCTCGTCAGAGGATAAGGTCAGAGGTGGCATCTCTGACTCTCAAATCCCAAGCATAAAAGCTGCCATTGGCCATCAGTGCAGAGGAAGACGCAGCTTCCCAAGGCAGCTCGGGTTATTAAGAAAGCAGCTCCTTCAGTTTGGTCTTGAGAGTCGAGTGATTACATAGTCATTTATTCAGTAAGATCTTTCCCTTTAGCATTTCTTGTCATACCCATGGCCCCTTTCATCTTTAGCTCTAAAGAAAGTTTGCACTTCTCATATATACTCAAGAAATGGTATCCTCAGTTGTTCCTTGTACCCAATACCATCACTCTGACACAAGGGAGACGCCAGACTTCACCACGATACCTGCTCAGTTGTCCCACCCAGCATCAGTGCTGCCCACGTGTGATAGGACATCGCCTCCTCCCCACTCCCAGGCTGGGGAGAATCTGTCTTCTCTGTAACACACCAAACCTTGTTCTTTTTCTATCTTTGCCTTGAATGCTTCCTAATATAATCATCTCACATTTATAAGCTGGAAGCCTGTGAGCCAAGTGTTACCTTGGACCTGTTTTATTTATTCTCCATGATATATATTTTTTTTAAAGTTCTGAACAAGTTAACAATCATTTAAAATTCAGGCAACCTCACGCTTGTGTTCCTGGTCTCTAGCTTCTGAGGGAAAAAAAAAAAATCTCTGGATCTGGCAATGCAGGGCTGGCATGTGTTATATCTGTTACGAACTAACAAGTGAGTCTTTTTGCATTTACCCTGAGTTCACCACATACACTAATAGCACCCATCTGGCCCATGGCGTAAACCACTGACTATTTTCTTGCCAAATGTTGCCACTTATCTGTGTAACATTAAGGAGGAAACTGATCTTCATTTGTTTTTGACTGTGAGCTCCAGGAACAAAGCCTGCTGCATAGAAAGTACTGGTCCGATTTAGAAATGAATCTCCTCCCCTTCCCATCTCTTTGGGGTTTGGTTTCTTTGCAAGAAATGTGCTCATCCAGCAGGGACGGAAATCTCTTATTTATTCAAAGGCCTCATTGGAAACATCTTCTTGGTTAAGCTAATTCCAGCAGAGACATATGGATGGAATTTATCTTTAGGTCCTCAAAGTTTAAAATTTGTTGTTTAAAAAAAATATTTAAAAAGCTAACATTTTGCTGAATCCAAGTGCCATAAATAACAGCCTCTCCTAGATTTGTTTTGCATAATCAGAGACCTCACTTCATCCACACAGTGAAAGCAACATAGCCTCTTGCCACCAATTTCTTGGAAATAAGACTGGCAAAGTAAGCCCTCTCCACCATCTTCCAAGCATGCATTTGCCTGGGCAATGAGAACTCACTGTGAGCTCCAGTTACAAATCCTCCACAATTCCCCAGGAACTGTGGTCAGGCTGAACCTGTGTGTGATTCCACCAATGCTTCAGGGAACCTCACCCACAAAGTGCTCCCTGGTGAAGTCACTGCCTTTTCTAACCACTCATGTCATGACTGGCTCTCCGTTACCTGTCCTTCCTAGCACACATATGCACACACATGCTCACACAGACACACATATGTGCCTTTCCTTTGCCCTGTACTATCTCACATATAAAGGCATAATCTCTCTTCAAGGGTTGTGTTCTCACCACCAGGACCACATTATCATGTGTTCTGTACGATAGTAGAAATAATACACAGAGCTGATATTGATGAAAGTTCCTGCGTGGTTGGCCATGGGATAGCATTGTACATGCACTATCTGTTTTTATATGGACAATACTATGAATGAAGAAATATATTATCTCCCATTTTTTACCTGATGTGGTGGGAGGGGAGTCCTGGGGCAATTCTTTCCCAGTTCTTCATGTTCTGAACAAAGTATTGGACGGGATGCACAGAGAAGGTAAGTGGGGATGTGTATTTATCAAGGGAGAAGAGTACACTTGGTAGAGGGAGAGCGAGCTGGTGAACAAACTCACAGGGCCACAAGGATAGGGGAAAAGGCTCTTTTGTGTTGGAATTCCTAGATTAGCTTTTCCCTCATGTAAGCAGGGCATTGGGATAACTATCTTATCGAAAACTCAGCAGCACCAGATATGCAGTGCCCTATAGCAAGACTTCCTTCCCTTCCACTGGATGTAATTGAAATGGCACTTTTCTGATTGACTTCATGTGTGGTGCTCATGCAGACTTCCTGGATTCTGCATTCCCTGCATTTCCCCTGGGTCTCCATGACTGACACATTTTTGCCCACTTGTTTGACAGGTTTACCACAGCCCTATTCTCCTAACTTATGTTTTTATTTTCTCCTTTTCACTTATTTGGGTTGCAACGCTTTCCTCTTTTTGTGCTTTTAAGGTAGATAAAGATCACTGGTTCCAGGTTTCTTTTCTTTACAAAGGTAAGAATTTAAAGCTATTTTTATTTGGACTACTGTTTTAGCTACAGTCCATACATTTTCATAGGTTCTATTTTTAGTTTCATTGAATTTTTCAATTTTATTTTTTTATTAGTACATGACTGCAGTATATAGTAATTACATTCTTCATAGAGAGTCTGGATGTTTTATTAATTAAGTTTATTGGTACAATTTAGATATACATAATGATCACATTCACCAGAGGGTTTACATGATATAACTTGATTCTTATTTTTTCCAATTCCCCTCTCCTCCCTTCAACTCTTCTACCTGATGCTTCAAAGTGAGGAAACTGAAGTTCAGTATGACAAAGTCACTTTCCCAAGATTAACTAACTGATGAGTGCTGTATTCTAGATTCTGTCCGGGGTTCTGCTTCTTTGGCCTGACACCATAGTCACAACTATGTTCTAAGTTGCATCTTCTCTCTAGTTGGTTTCAACTCGCCTCATAATCATGACTCATATGTTCCCTCCTCCTTCTCCTCCTCCTCCTTCACTTCCCTCCTGAGCTCCATAGTGGCCTGATGATTAAGAAGGCCATGTCAAAAAATCAATCTCTGTATTGCAAGTCCTGGTTCCACTACTGACTCAACCTCTCTGTTATTTTTATTTGTAAAGTGGGAGTAAAATAATGATGCTTGCTCCCCAGTATTGCAAAATTGTGTAAAGTAAATAAGAAAATGTATGCAAAGGGTTGACAATTCTCAAAAAAAAAAAAAATCAATGCTATTACTTCTAATTTACTCCTGGGCCTGGACAGATAAAGGACCTATTCTCTCATCAGCTCCACACAGCCATCTGCCCAGCCCTCCTTACAAATACAGATTTTGTGATTAGACTGTCTAAATTCAAGCTATGGCCCTACCACTTCCAGATGGTGTGTCTTTAGATTAAGTAACTTTAGATCTCTTTAAACTTCTGTATTCTCATCCATAAAATGGGGATAATAAAGCAACTCATATAGCTGCATGATTCAGTGAGCAGCACTGGGCACAAAACCTCTCACGAAACACCCATATAAACAATGTAAGAAGCTATCAGTGCGATGATTATTACAACTCAACTAAATTTTGATAGCTCTCCAATAGAAACTTTGCATCTCCCAAACACCCTTGGACTGTGACTGGCATCTCCAAATCCATATCATGCACACACCTTACAGTCGACTTCATCAACCTTCTCTCTACTCAGAGACTTCCACTTCCTAGGCATTACTGAACTAAGTTCTATAAGCCAACATATGGCTTATCCCTTAGTTTCATCCAGCCTTTATTTGGCTGTTTTCATCTCCCCCGCTGTGCTCAGCAACATTCGTGTATATGACACCAGTGACTGGCTACACACCCGCAATCTCCTGGCCCTTCTCCCACATCTGTGCCAGATTGACCATTGTTAATTTCAGCTCTTTTTCTTCTGAAACCACAAGGCCTCCTGCCTTTAGAAGAAGGTAAACAGGCAACCTTCACCAGGGACTCTGTGGCTCCTTGGGTCTTCAACATTCGTTTCTTGATTTGTATCTGTGACAATTCTTAGCCCAATGCCAATGACCCATTTTCTCCAAATCTTCTCTCTGTTTACCACTTTCCACTGTCCTGCTTTCTGCTGTAAGAGAAACTTTTGCCAGCTTCCTGTAGAACTTTCAGCCAGGGCAGTTTACCAAAAGCTAGAATCAACTCACTGCACTTCAAAGCAAACTTCCGTTTAAATCACTGGGTCTTAGAAGGGCTGGAGAATCTGCAATTGGCACAGTTACTGCCAAAGGACTGTGATGTAGGTGTCCCCAAGAATTCCCTTTGAGAAATACTTTCTATAAAGACGAGACTATCAACAGAACATTTTTTATATAATCTGTTCCATTTCTTCCTCAGAGCACTGGGCATCTCATTAATAAGTGTGTCTACTTCCATTTGGCTGCTGAGAGCTCAGCATTCAGTGGGTAGGCCCGTTATCCTATGTTCAGAGGTTGTTTGTGCAATTTATACATCTGTATTTACATCAAGCTTTCCTCTCCTTTCTGCTTGTGCTGTACTCTGGCTTGGCCTGTTGCTCTTTGTTTTTTTTTCCTTTCACTATTCTCTGCATTTTGTTAGCCTTCCTAAATCTTCTGTGGGATTACACAGAGCATATAAATAAAATACCTACACCACCTGCATTCGTGCTCTTTGCTAGTTTGTTAAAACATTGCATTGTATTCTTTAACTGTCTCCATGGTCATCATATGTACTTTTCTGTAGCCTCACTACAGGTACTGTGAATTACTTACAGCCTATTGAGTGGTACCCTTGGTGGATAAAGGTCCATACTATGAGTGGCTATTGTTGCATTGGTGACTGCAGGCATCTGTGAACACATTTTCTGGACACCAGTACTTTGATTGTCATGAGCAGATTTCATATATATATATATATATATGAAATGGAAAAGAGGGAATGTATCCATTCAAAGCATATGGTTCTTACAGACATATCTGATTGATTTTAACTATCACTGATTTGGATATAATGATTAGTCATAACACTGTTTGCTACCCAATAGACTTCAAAATAATAATTACCTTACAGAAGAAAATAATTTGGTGCGCAGAAGAAAACAATATGTACTATGAGAGACTCCCTATTCAAAGTCCTGTTAGGACTTCACAAAGTTAAACTGGAAAGATATTAAACTGTTAAGGGAACAAGATCACGATGAGATTAAGAAGAAATGATTCCAAGATGTCCAATGAAATGATCTAACATTTAAAAAGCAAACCCCAAACACCAGGAGCATTCTTGCCTTCATTTTTTTTTGTACTGAGCATTAAACCAGGTTTTTTTCACTGAGCTGAGTCTAAACCCATTATTTATTTTGAGACAGGGTCTTGCCAAGTTGCTAAGTTGACCAGTTTGAGCTTAAACTTGCAATCCTCCTGCCCTAGACTCCCACAGTGCTGCAATCACAAGGGTGAATCACCACTCCAAGTTTGTTCACTGTTTTATCTCTAACATATATTATAGTCTTAGTGAGTTCTTTGATAAATCTTGGGTAGCTACATAGATGAGTTAACATGTAAAGAATGAGTGATGGTTTTTAGTTTTAGACACACAGGGAAAATTGACTGCTACTTAAATCATAAAAATATGGACAAAAGACTAATGGGCAAGCAATGGGGAAGATATCCGATGCCTAACATGAGTCATTGATACCCCACACAGGGAATGTGAGCAAGAAGACTCTAAGTTGTCCTAAAATAAGAAATAATCAGCTGGAATGAAGCAATAGTGATTCTAGGTAGGACTGGGAAGGAGAATGATTGGATTCTATATAGTACTTAGAAATATGTTAATTTGATAAATGGAGAATTTTTAACCAATTTCCAGCAATGAGAATGATGTGGTAAGGCCATAGGCCTCTCACTCCTACCCTTCTCCCTTGTGGGATGTCCTTGCTCTTTCTCTGTCTGATGGATTGTTAGCATTTGCATCTGAAAATCAGCTCTTCAGTGAAAAGGTTGATGAAGGTCAGCCTTGTCATTCTCAGAGTTCATCTCTCCATCCTCCTGCCACTTTTCTATCCTTGGTACTTCTTGCACACAACCAGGGCAGTGTATATTGTGCACCATGATGTTTGTTCATTTATAGGTTTCCTGGCTGAGCTACCAACTCTGGAAGGCAGAGAGGCTTATATTTCTTTGGATTGGTCTAAAGGGGCCCAACAGAGAGCCCTACAAAAAGTAGACACTCAAAAAGTCTGCTAGCACCCAGTGTCTGATAAACATACAGATGGGCAAGCATGGAGTAGATAAAAGATAAAGGAAGTTAGTAAGGGCAAACTGTTTGCTCTGGGAGGAACAATATGGAAGGGAGAGTATAGGAATGAAAGAATGAGTAAAACATGAACACACAAGTAAATGCACAAGCACTCAAAGCACAAATTCCTATTTGTCAGATTTTAGACAAAATGTATTGCTTCTCCTTTACTTTCCATTTTCCTACCGAGGAGAGGGAAATTCAAGAGGGAGAACAGCCCTGCTTGGCTAGTGGTAGCTTTATGACTTACCCTTTCACCATCTAAGAGCAAATGAGCTCGGAAGATCACAGCATCATTGATGGGTACTTCTTCATTCCTGTATAAGATCTGGAAGACCCGGCTATGCACGGTGCTGTCACAGACACAGGCTGAAAGCAGGCTGCTGCTTTCTGCAAAACAAGAACCAGAAGCCCCTAAATTGGAATACTTCCTGTACTTGCAGCCCAACCATATATAGGTCTGTTTTACGAAGTTTATGGTCCCAAAATGCATTACAATGTCCAAAGCTTAAAGTCACAGTTGAATAAGACCCCAAAGGTTTGTGTTCGTAGATTTGTTTACAGAGTTGGGCTGTATCTCCAGAGAACCTTATTTAACATCTTGCATGTCATGTGAAGTTGGCAAAGATACCTATACAGTGGGCAGCACTCCTAGGTTGGAATGTAGTGCCTGTCAAATTCCTCACATGCTCATAGGTCCAGTGTTCTGTGAATCCTTTCATAATTTCCCCAACCAGAAAACCAGGAGAACAAGAACTAAAAAGGGGAAAATATCCTTCCTCCTACAAAGACTTTCTACTACTTATAAAGTTCACCTCTCCCGAGAGCAGTGCCACTGAACTAAATCACTGGCCCCAGACTTGGTGTTTTAAAAGGTCCCTTCACATGTCACATGTGAGGAATACTCTGTCCTGAGTTTTAGGTAAATGTCTAATTCTAATCATAACATACATCAAATGTTAAGGAACTTGCTTAGGTCTTAAGGTTCTAAAATACCACAATAATTAAAAAGCTCTTTCAAAATTAAGTTGAATTTCAGAAAGACAATGGATTAAAAATCTTACTGCATCCAGTGACTGGGGTTATTTTGGGAAGTAAATATTTGAATTCCTCCAAGTCCTTAACTTGTAAACTGTGTGGTTAGAAATATATATAAGCATTCAAAATTAAACAGTACTCTTATTTATATAAGGTTATAATAATGCCCAGATATGTAACACTTTATAGCTTCCAAAGTTCTTTTCAAATATGCTAATTTCCTTTATCCTTATCGCAAAATCCTAAGGTAAGTTTTAGCATAGATGAAGAGATTAAGGGTCCCAAATAAGAAGGTGATATCTTGATAGTTCCTTGTTGTGAACTGAATGCTTGTGTCTCTTCAAAATTCGTTTGCTAAAATCTAACCCCTATTGTGATAGCATTTAGAGGTGGGAAGTTTAGGAAGTGATTGGTTTACAAGCACGAAGTCCTTGGAAGCAAGAACATCCTTGCAAGAGGTCTGAGAATTCGCCCCTCACTGTCAACCAGTGGAGGACAAAATGAGAAGCTGTCAATCTTCAAACCTGGAAGAGTCTCTTGCCAGAACCCAAACTCTCTGGCATCGTGACCTCAGACCTCCATCTTAGAGACCACTAGAGAGAGATAAGTTCTATTGCATTTTTTGTCTGTGTATGCCAATTTATTTATTTATCCCATTGTTTATTGGTACATTTTAGTATACAATACAGTTACATTCATCATTAGGATGGTGTACCTTTACATTATGCATCTTGGTTCTTATTTTTTCCCATTCCCCTGCCCTCCCATCATTGCTTATAAGCCACCTACTTCCCAGCATTTTGTTGTGAGAGCCTGAGCCAAAACATTACTACGTGACAAAGCACTGTGTCAATTCATCGTCACATCTACTTATTTAATAACCGAGAAAATGGAGTCTCCAGTGAATGAATATAATTCACTAATTTCCTAGCAAAAGGTAAGTACTCTCTAAAGTACAATGAAAAGAATTAAATGTCATTTCTTGATTGGAAAATGAACCAACAAAACAAACAAGAAGAATTAGTCCAAGTAGCAACGAAACACTATACAAATGTCTTCTGCATCACTCCCAGGTAATGTAATAAGTCCCTCAGAAATAGGAACTCAGAATCACTGTCAGCCCACAGTGCATGGTAGAATCTGAGCCAGCACCTGATGCAGCTTCAGAGGAGGAAACATAAAGGATATAAAATCCCAGGCTGTTTCCAGGGCTGCTGAGGGGTATGTGTACTAATTCCCAAAAGCAGCACTGTGAGACCTGTTGAATTCAGATTGAGATAGCTTTTAAGCAAAAATGACTATGCAAGACAACTTTCTATTTTCATTTGTTACCCTAAACCGTTCATTGTCACTGTCAAGGCCTGGTTGATCTATAAGCCAGACCAACAGTGTGGCAGTGGAATGATGGGATAAGTACTCCGAAGGCCAGAGCAGTGTAAGCTGTCTACTGGCAGGAAGGACAGCTGACCAAATAATTAAATCACTTGCCTTTTTGGGCAAGTGACATCATCTCTTCTATTGGCAGTTTTCCATGTGAAAAATGGGCACATCCACACTGACTTCCTGGAAATACTGTGGACATGAAGAGGGTAAAATAAATCAAGATCTTGGCACATACTAGGCCTCTCATGTATACTATTATGACATTTTGATTTTTGTTCAGAGAAAAAGTTCTGAGTATTTCCTGCAGAATACATTTCTGCTGGCCACATTTTTAAGGGAGCTGAAACTCCTCTGTGAGCAGACTGGCAGACTGGACCACAGGGCTCAAGTGATATCACTGAAGACTACTAAATCCCAGGAGGAGGCATTTCTCATCCCCTATAAAATTTTTCCGTGCCATGTTTCCACTACTACTAATTAAGACATAAAGCAGATTTCTCTTTGCAATGGAAGCTTCCCAAGTCGTGGGACACTGCCTTGGATCTTGGAGATCACCAGGGAAGCACTCACCAGTGCCATTTCCATGGCAGTCTCTCTTCTCCAATGATGAGAGCCCACATTTGGACACCCTTCCCACCATTCTTGCTCACTCTCCGTGACATTCAGAAGGAAATGATCCTTTCCTCTACTCAGCAAACCCAGTTTGACAAAACCATTGTGCTTGCTTTCTTGCTCATTCAACATAGGCTTCCCTGTCAGAAGTGACTCTTTTGAACTATCTCTGCTTCTCCCTCTTCTCATGAAACAGGGACTAAGCATCCAGAGATGGAAGAGAAATGCTTTTTTCTCCACATTTCAAACCAAACCCAAATCCATACCTTAGGGTGCCACCCTTTCTTCTCCACAGCATGAAGAGCCACTTTTATGATCAGGAGAATTTTTGCTTATTACCAGACAACTGGAGACTCATGCCAAGTGGTCCTATAAAGTCATGTATACAAGAGTTTTCACAAATATCTATCTTCTCTTATGTGTGTCAGGGATGGTTCATGCATAAGGACAGTTGGAACTTTAAAGAAATAAAAAAGACAGATGAGCAGAAAGTGCATGAGAAAAAGAAGATGAAAAACATAGGAAGTAGAAAAGTTAAAATAGGGCAGAGGAGCCCTTCAATAGTCCTCATCATATAGAAATCTATTTCAAATAGCTTAATTTGGAATTTTATGCCAAAGGGCAAGAGTAGAAAGTTTTAAATCTTGACATTTCTCCTCCAAAAATGAGTGATATTAACCCCTAATACATTGATCCATCTCTAATCATTTTCAATTAGATGGTCCTGTTTCTCTGTTGGGAGCTCTTCCAGTCTCAAAAGATCTGTGGGCACAGATTATAAAGTACAGGTGCTGATTGTTTGACATGGAAGCCATGCCCATTGGCCCAACCACGGCATTTGCATGGACAATCATTAATGTACTAAACCCTAACCTCATCCCAAGACCATAGCTCTACCTAAACTAAGAGTTACCAAAGTCTTAGGTTAGCTCCAAACCTGACCCTACAACTTTCTAGCTGTGTGGTTTCGGGAATATTAGTAAATCTGAACTCAAATGAGGCAAGAAACACCTGCTGCTTACTGAATATAGGGTTTAGATGACATGATGAATAAATATATTTGTTACTGTAAAACACAAACAGATTCCCCCATACAAGTTATAGTGATGATGACTATGTGGATAGATTTCTAGATATTTCTAGAAACAAAACAGACAGGGTGTAGACCAGAGTGGCATGGGTGCAGGCACATCCATCCAGGGCCTGAACCTGGCCCTGGCTGCTTGGGCCCACAAGCCCCAGCCAAAGACCCATCCTGAAAAGAGCTGCATAGCTGTGCAATCAACAGCCAGAGGCCCACCCAGATATCATCAGTAAGTGCATCCAGACCCTAGCAAGAAGTCCACCCAGAAACCAGAAATGTGGGTGCTCAATCCCCAGCCAAAGACCCATCCAACAACAGCTATGTAGGAGGGCAGGATATAGCAAGAAGCATGCCTAGATACCATCACAAGTGTGCACAGACCCTAGCTGGAACCTTGCCCAGACAACAGGACAACACGGTGATCCAGAAGGCCACGATTCTGAACCCAACAAATGGTACAACGGTAAGTAGCAGAGAAAAGGCCACTCTGTGGCTTACTGAGAATTAAAGACCACTTGGTGAGCAAAAAATTGTCTCAACAAAGGCTCGGCAGGCTGCATCTGTTGAAATGAGAAGACATACAAACAAGTCTCATAACCAGACTACCAGATCACTGAAGGCAACACCAAAGGGAAAGAAGATAGAACAATCTGATACTCAACCACTGGAACTCCCTTAACTGGCAACAAAAGAGAATCTGAAAAACATGAAATCAGAAATAATTTCTCAGATAACAACAAAGATTGTTTCCATAGTGCAAGATATGATTAATAAATCTAAAGCAGACACAGATAGAAAAATAGAGGAGCCAAGGAACATGATGGAATCCCAACATAGAAAACAAACAGAATCCATAAAAAGGATGCAGATTTCCAGAAGACTAAAAATTCCATTGAAAGTTTACTCAGCAGAAGAAGACAATGCGAGGATAGAATTTCAGATATAAAAGATAGGATTGCAATTAGTGAAGAGGAAAATAAAATTTCTTAAAAATAGTAAAGGACCGTGAGCAATCAGTCTAGCAATGGCTAGATGATGCAAAGAAGAATAACATAAGATTGATCTGAGTCCATGAAGAAACAGGAGAGTGTGCAAATGACATAAAAATACAATTGTTCATAGAAGTAATGGCAGAAAAAGTCCCAAGCAAAAGAAAAGAACTTGACATATAGATAAGTGAGGTATATAGTATTCCAACTAGTTATGATCAAAAATATCTACACATAGGCATATAATAGTTAAGATTCCAGAAGCCCAACAGAAGCAGTTAGAA